TCTATTTGCGTGCGTGACACGTGGGAAATGTTTAACGCCTAAACGCGCGCGCGGATTACCAGCTATCTCGTCTTCAATTGTATCTATAGCACGGTGAAGAATCATTTCGAGGTCTGTCGACTGTATAACGCGATAGTCGCGACGCGATTATTTCAGCCTTATCGGCGATACACTCGGTGCGCAAATACCATCGAAACGCGTCGAGGGCGAACGGAAAATGGCGGAAGGATGCGTGGGAGCGGAAAATAAGATCAATTTCGTTGTACGTTCGCCGATCGCGTACAGTTTGAGCCTCTCTCTTTCTCGCTCTCGCGTCGCGTTGTCGTCGTCGTCAGCGGCTCGGTCAACCGTCGAGACTTTTTCGCTCTCTTGTCGACTTGGCGTCGCGTATTCCCGGCACGCCGCGGAAACAGCGGTGGGTTTATTTTCCACGGAAAATCACAACGTGTCCGGATAATGCCGGTTATCGCGCGGCACGCTGAATACAATGCCTCGAGAACGGAGAGAAGGATCGGAGGCTGCCCCTACCTTTCGGACTCCTATACGCCGAGAATAAACGTGTAAACGTGCATTCGCCGTACACGAGGGCGAATTCGCGGGTTTTGGGTGCGCGCAGCGCCTCCGGCAAAAAGATACGCGGGAAAACGATAGGGCGATACGGCGACGTTTGCTTCCAATTCGGAGATACGAATCTTCTCCTCCACGGGGAGATTTAGCGAAAATGTAAAAATCAAGGGTGATTTAATATCGCCGTAAATGGACCGTGTATTCTTATATAAATACACAGGAAGGAATGGAAAAGTATATACGCACTCTCGCACGCGGAATTCTCCGATGAGCCGTTTCCGCGCAATCGCCATTCGCATCGCGAGCCGGGCAATAAATTCAAATTTTATTGAATTATACAGGAGTCGGGAAGATCGGCTAAACTACATGCGAACGCTTTCACGATCGGCCAGCGTTCAATTCCGCGGGGTTGTTGCAGCTGATTTTTATATGCACGGACTAGCGCTACAAAATACGGCGGTTTTCAAATCATCAGTTTGATGATTGATAAAATTTTCGGTTTTTATTTACAGTCGTATATTTTATAGTAGAATTTTCTCTTGCGGAGCAAAGGCGCTACGGTCTAAAGTGACAGTCGTTCCGAGAATATTTCTTGAAGGGTAAGGTTTATAACTTTTATTGTTGTTCAGTTGTTCGCCCTAATGTTATGTAAAAAGTGATTTCGAACAGTTACTCTGTATCGGTATGAATAATTTTAATGCCCTCGCGGATCCTCTTACGCTATTGAAGAGTTATTATCCACCTCGAGTTTAATTACGGTAATGTTTTAATTATTCAGATTTAATTATTCTTTCAATTAATCTCGCATTATATCTGTCTGTAATGCACAAATGCGGAATTATACAGCGCATTTCTATCACGGGCAGATATACATGAATTCGCATTCATTACTCGGGCGTGTGTGACCGCCGGTGAATCGCGTGAATAATTTTGCCGATTTCGCATTGGCGACTGCTATCAGATTTGCGACTATGCGTGCTATCTTTGGTACTCGTTAACGCAGATAAGCGGCTTACTCGGAATATGCGGCTGAAACATTCCCATAGCAGAAATATTAGTTACAAAGGCTCATATATGACTTGGTTTGTACTTTACGAGCTCACCGCTCGTGTACGTTCATTAAGTCTTTCATTTCGAATAACAGCGAAAAGGCGCTTCTAAATCTCATTATTTTCTATTCTTTTGAATAACATTATTACCGCATTTTCCGCGGTGAAAACGGCAGTCGCCGTTTTATAATGGCGGATGGTTACGGCAAATTGCGCATATTTACCTGCCGCGTTAAAATATCTCTATGATAGCGTTTATTATGCGGAATATTTTACTCTCCTATTTCACTCGCGCATTAAACTTTAATGACCAAACTCGTTGACTAATTACGGCTAATTTTTCTTTGACGAAAATATATCGGAACGCCAGCAGTTTTTGCGACACCAAATTCCTGCGTGTACGGATTTTATCGAGAGGATTTATTAAAATTAGAATACACCTTTGATCGATTTATACGTTATTATCGAGAAATTTAGGCTTTCGCTACAGTGATCATCAATTCTGTCTGTACTAAGATCCTCCATTAGCTCCCGGGCTACACCCGCGCTGCGTCGAGGGCAGTCCGCTGCGCATGTAAATTGCGGTTCCACCAGCTTTGCTCAACGTCGGATTCGATACTCAGGCTGGTCCGTGTTATGGTTAGGCTGGTCTTAAATGTGGCAACGAAATTTCTGCCCCTGGTTGCGCGCCAGATTACGGTTACTACGCACGGATATATTATGCAGATACGACGCACGTTTATGCGGCAAATATTTTGGTACGTGACAATGTTTAATATCGCAAATGCAGCAGATCGATTTAAAAGCGCAAAAGCGCCCGGCGACGTTAACAAATTGTCATCGACGGTGGACGTGGAAAACATTACGCGGCATGAATTAAATATTTAATAATCGCTAAAAATGAAACAAATTCTCGTGTACGTTTGCCCCTTTCTTCCTTTCGCCGACCTCAATGCCGCGTTCTGTTTTACATGGCGTTACACGTTTACGAGTTTAGATTGATGGCCGCGTTTAATCGTGATTTATCTCCCGGCCGTTTAAGGCCCTAAACGCGGCAATGAATTCTGTAACCAGCGCCCAATTACAGCCATCCAGCGCACGGGCCGACACTCGCGCGTGCACTCGCGCGCCTTCGCAACAAGCGGATGCATTTGTCGTTGCCAGGCTTTTACGGCTTCGCAACCGCACCCGATGTTCTTCGTGCTGAGTACCGTGAGTATTTTGGGTCCGCGGAGACAAATGACGTGTTTCATCATCCCGCCCCTCTCGATTGCGGATGTACCTTTCACGCCGACCCTTCGCTACCGAGAGAGCCCGCTCATAGTCGTGATCCCTCTCCAATTTTCGAGTGTAACTACAGCACCTTTTTTCCGACTGCGATCCGTCACTCGTTTACGTCACGCGCGCGATCTTTTATCGGCTCACGTCGCCGTTTCCCCCTTTATTTTCCTCGACCGCGAATCATGCGCCGCAAATCATGGCACTCGTATAAGTACGCCTGATTCATGAGGCGGCGGATGAAACTCGAAGCTTAAGTCGCAGAGATTGCGGGGAATCGTAGACGCGACGTGACAAAAGTTAAAGAAGCCTAAGCTGGATCCAGAAGCCCGCTTTTCCAGTTTTTTCCAGTTACAGCGAATTGATTGCTTGCGCTAGTGCGCACTGAGTGCACACAAAGGCCTGTTTATAGGCAATTTTTATATTTAACTTTGTCTTAAATATGGTACATGTTCAAGGAATATTTAGCCAGAAAATTATCCGTATGGATGCTGTGCAGATCATTTTACTGGCTAAGAAATATTTCAAAAGACATTTGAGGGATGCTGGAGTGATTCTGCACTTTTGCACCTTTTGCACTTAAAACTGTCTGTTTCGTGGAAACATTTGTGTAATATACAAATTAAATGGCTCACGTGTACAGATCGAAAGCAGCTTGCTATTCCGGCTAAATGAAAGAACAATATGGCATCACTGAAACTAAGTTTGTAAGTCTAATAAAAATTGTTAGTGAGCAACACACATACCACATGTACTGTATGTGTGTGTTGCTCACTATTATTTCTTATTAGACTTACAAACTTAGTTTCAGTGATGCCATATTGTTCATTTAGCCGGAATAGCAAGCTGCTTTCGATCTGTACACGTAAGTCATTTAATTTGTATATTACAGAAGTGTTTCCGCGAACTGATAGTTTCTAGGTTAGAAAGGTGCAAAGGTGCAGAATCACTCCAGCATCCCCTTAAGATGATCCCTAAATATAAGAATTGACTGTAAACTGTGCACTCAGTGCGCACTAGTGCAAGCAATCGAATTCGCTATTAGACACAGGGGCTTTAATGACTAAAATCTGGTACGAATCTCGATTAATTGTACATCCGTGAAGGAAAGAGAAAGCAAGATGAAGAGCATCGATAAACTATACAAAAGCTGAATAACCACGTTATCGAAGATTGAAGCAAAAATCACTTTCGCGCCGCCACTCGGCAGTGAATATTTTACGCTTCCGGAAAAATGGGTCTCTTTGTCAGTCTATCCGTATCGATTCACTCGCATTTCTTTCCGTTACCACACACTCCTTGGCTTCCTGGTTTCCCTCGTCGGAGGCAATACGAGAGCCTCGAGTGAGATACTTTACACCGGCTCTTAGCGAGCAGGCCCTTAATGGAATATTTGCAGAGCTCCTTCCTTTTTCAAACCGTCTATCGGGAGAGCCGATTGCCTTTGAGCGCGTCCGCGTTTCTCTTACCAGCAGGTAAAATCGCGATGATTTATCGAGAGGGAGGGTGGAACTTAAAGCGCGCGCGCGAGGGCTTAAAAAGGTCGCCGCCGTCCCGACGACGGTGGGCGACAATGGGCCCAAAAACGGTTTAATACCAGCGTATCCGTATATACGCGATATGATCTATTGTTTCCCAAGACGGGCAAGAATATAATACCACCGGTGATTTATCGCCCCGTTATTCGACCCCGCGCACGCCCCCGTGTTTTCGACAAAGTGGCGAACACTTCAGTTTCGCAACTCGTAAATCTGTAAGATACCTACCGTCAAAATCGTTCGATCTATGCTGCAATAATGGTGGAAAAATGAGTGCCAGGCTGGCTGATCTATGATTATTTCACCTGTACGTGAGAATTGTTTGTAACGACGATAGCTTCGAGAAAATTAATCGATTCACTTTCGTCATATTTATATTTCGACCAGTTTCAGCGATAGCGCGAACAAGTCTAGATCTATTTTAAAAAAGTTTTATTGGATCCACGAGTTTACTTTTTTCGAGTATCTGTCGTCGGCCTCGTTGTACATTGCAAATTAGGGTTTCTCTCCAGACTTTGCACAAGTAAAATGTCTCTCGCGGACGGTGTTCAAAAGTCCCGCTTGATGTTTATCTTTTTTGTTTCACTTTTTTTTTTCTTGCTTTTCTCTTATCAAGTTTCCTCACGATAACACGTTCTTTCGGAATAATTATGGGTGGGGGAGGCCCTGGTTCCGGTAACGGAATGTAATTTCGCGGTGACTTAAATTCCACTTCAAGACTGTGCTTCAAATCGTCGGTAGGAGTGATTTGTCTCGTTGTCTTGAGAAATAACATTTCTTCCTCTGGTCTTTTCGGAGTAGGTGCCTGATTGTGCATCACGTGGATTTTTGGACAGCCTTTCTTGCACTTCTTACCTTGTGCAGGAGAGAATTCAATTTAACGTACATTCCAGTCTTGAAAATAACGTTTTGTCAATATTTCTACGGTAATTAATAACAGCGTGTGATAAAATAATGAATAATGGATTTTACTTTTATACTTTTGCATTGGGTTTGCAATCTACAGTAATACCGTACCATATTTATCCAAACAATTAACATCGATCACAGGTTCGGCAGTTTGTCCGTCTTGAACGGCTTGAACGCGACGTCCATCTTTGGGTAACTTAACGGTTAAAATGTTACCGTCGATCTCGTGCGACACCTCGTCGTATGGTAACTGTGCATTAGTCGAACACATAGCGTGGCGATTCATGATTCTTCGGTAATACAATCACAAAAGTTCCTCGACTTTATCCTCGTAAATGCGGATCTTAGAATTTTGTCATTCAAGGTTATGCAAAATAATTGAGGCATTTCAAATTCTTATGTTAGCACGTTGTAGTATCATCTTGACCGCTTTCTTTCACGCTATGCGTTGAACTTTGCATCTCGCATGTTAGTGCAATCTTTCGACGGGTGCTTGAATCAGATTCTCGCGATTTCCAGCCTATTATTTTACAATCCGGTCACGCTGTCCTTCAAGTTGGTTAGCATGCTCGAAAACACAATAGCAACGCTACCGCCTGAAGCTGTGTTTAACAAACGGCACGAATTATTCTCGGAGTTGAAATTTTTATATGTCAAGTGTACATAAAGAGAAATATCTGCGCGAGCGGAGTGCTTTTCTTCCCTCTGCCGCGCCTCGCTACATAAAGACGGTGCAGGAATAAGGAGGAAGAAAGTATATAAAAGCGAAATGCAGATGAGGAAGGACGACTCCGCTTTCCCCGTAGAACTGCGAGGCTGGAAGAAGTGGCGGGGCGGCCGGTCGCCGGGAATAGCTTCGCTGTTTTCACTCGGAAATTTCTTCTGGACACAAGACGATGCCGGCGAGAGCTTTCCTCCTCCCCCCCCTCCCTCTTTCCTTCACGTTTCGAGAGCTTTCATTGTTTCGGTCTCTTCCTGACATTTACCGGTATTGCAGCCGAAAGAGCCCCGCGTCATTCTGCGGAGTGCGTGGAATCGTACTTCACAAATAGATATGCAAATATCGTCTCAGTTTGGTTCGTCCACTGGCGTCGCACCCCCGACAGCGAGATATACGTCGCACGCCGTTTCTTCTCTGCCGCCTCAACAACACTTTAATTTTTCTCTCCTCGCTACATCCCCGACACTTTCATTCTCTTTTTCCTCCCCTTTTTCGCCCCGGCCTTTTTTTCGCGAGCGCGCGCCGCTACGTGAACTTAATATTCTTGGCACCTAAACTTCTCCTTTGTTACGTAACTTCATAACGCTCTTAATGTCCGTGCTTTTAAAAGATAATATTTCAGTTTTTTCCCGATGACTTATTCTCTCCCTCGTTCTCTCCCGCTGCACCTTCGTCGCCGTCCTCCGCCGCGATGATTGTTTTTCTGCGAATAAAGTTTTTCCCTTTTCTTTTTAAGAAAAATCTAAATGGACGGTTACATAAACAACTGGCGAAATAAAATATTTCTCGCAAAATAACACGCGCGTGCATTACTACATATGTACTTTAAGCGGTATACATATATGTACGGAGGGATGGCGTCATGTCGGTTTACGCGACGGACAGAAAGAATGGGAGAAGGAGGGGGGGGGGGGAGGGGGCGAATATTTGGACGAACTCAAAAATTCCATCAATCTCCCCGTTCATTCTCGGCCGCGCGATATTCGACGTGCTCTATCATGGAGATATGCTTCACGCGGCCGAGGGGATATGCTAATATTATGCGGCGCTTTCATAACGCGCGCGGGGCCGGGCGTGTTTTACTTTCATGAAGTACTTGGTCCGGTTAATACTTTCGGCGGGAGGAGAGTCGAGGAGATTTTTTTTTATAACGGCCGAGCGCGCGACCCAATAACTTGAAAACGAATTCGACGATTGTTACCGGCGCATAATCAGCTTTTGAAACATCTCCCTTTGGTACGGTCGCGATCAGTGCCCCGAGTCGACTCGGGCATGTCGCTTTGTGCAAAGTCGCTGAAAAGTTCGGGCTGTTAAACTTTTAATCGGTAATCCGGCGGGAAGTCTCTTGCACGCAGGTCGAAATGCAGCAGCAAGTTTAGCCCTTTAACTTCCGAACTTCTTCTCGCTATTAAGTACCGGCTCGACGTAAATAGCGCGCACCTCGAATTCGCGCGTAAACGCGGCTCGTATAGCTAGTTAGTAGAAATATTGTTTAATTCCTCCGATGGACGCCCTCGCAACGCTATGCCTTGGTAGTCGCGCCATTTATTTTGACTGCATTGTATAAATTCTACCCTCTAAAAATCAATCAGTGGATTATCATTGAAAACAGTGAATAGTCACTGATTTGCAGTTGTAAGTATACCACTGCAATTTTCAGTTAGACG